AATTAAGGAGAACTGAATTTTCTGTTGCTTCAAATCTAAAAATTGAATAAAAAAGAATCAAAAGAGAAATTACATACTAGACTACTTGTTATTCACTCCATGTTTGAAAATCCTTTGTAGAGGCAAGACAAAAATACCTTCAAGATTAAGAACAAACACACACTGAATTTATGTATTTCAAATGGAAATGTGTTCATATCTAGGATACCAGTCTCAGTGACATTGATGAGATGTATGGCATTGCCTGCTATGTTCCTACAATGAGAATGAAGGGTGGAGATGGCAAATAAGAGTTAAGAGACAGAAATTATAGCAAGAGAAGGCCATGCATAGATTGCACCATACTTTGATGTTATGCTGTTAAGACTTTGTAACAATTAACAAGCCCAGCTATCTAAGAGAAGCTTCTTAGAGAAAAATCACACCTCCCTGTGTAGCCTTTTATTTATAAATGAACTGAAAGAATCTCAAGGAAGTTTTTTGGTGTTATCTTAAGTTTTTGAGCCTCAGTTTCTTCATTAATTAAATGGACTATGAAGTTCTGAAATTTAAAATTTCTACAAACTCTTAAAGATACAACATAAGAAAGAGAATCCCTAGGTCAGAGAAAATACAAAAGAATTTTTATTTCCTTATTAATTATTTATAAACAGGAAGAATGGAGGTCCAGAGAAGTGCTTGGAAACAATTGGTGAATTCAGTGAAAGCTCTAAGAACATTTTAATCTCAACTAATGCATACACCTTGTAAACACGACACCTTGTCAACACGCCACTTTCTAGTCTTCATATTCCCAATTTTTCTCTTTGTTTATTTATTTTTTTTACTTATTTTTTTAACTTTTTAAAATTTTATTTTCTCTTTTACATTCAATTACGTTAGCTTACAAAGTGAATATTTCAACATGTGAACATTTCTTCGTAGTCCAGTTGATAAAACTATAAAAGTATCTTCAACAGGTAATACCACATTTCTTTGTCCCATTAATGCTTTGCCTCTCTATTTTTTTCTAAATGTCCTTCCTCAGACTCTACTCTTTCACACATAGTATATCTGGTATTTACATCCATTTTCTGTGTTTCTATAACCTTTAGTCAATCAGTCTCAGTCATAGAGCTCTTGGCTTATTTAAAATAGAGAAAATGAAATTGTATAATCTTGCTTTAGTAGTTTTCCATTGTTTCTCTATGGATTTACTTCTTATAACTTTGATTAATGAATGTAGTTTTTATGGAGGCCATCTGTGTGTTTACATGAAGGAATGCATGTTTCTCTCCTTCTTATGATTTTTTTACTCACTTTTCTCACTTCACTGCTCCTCACTTTACAACTCTCTTTATCTCTATCCCCCATTAGGAACCCAAAGTATTAGAAAGAAATAATAATTCATTTTCTTTTTAATAGTTGTTAGAGATAATTAGAACTATAGATAATTAGAGCTTGTAGTTATTATAATATACCTAGTTTATCACACTGGAATAATATTGCTTTAGCTGGATGGCTAAGAATCTCTAAGTTTCATTTAAATTATGTAGCTTTAGTAGAAGTAATGGACAATTTGAAGTAGTAATTTTAAAATATTCTATTTATGGAAACACAGTATAAGTTTATTGACTGACTGACTTTCAGAGAATCTTGTGGAAACTTTTGTTTAACATATTTAAAGACATATTCCATTTCTTTATCATTTTTGAAATCATTGACCAATTGATTTCTTGTCTAGTGAAATTTCCACTTTTGAAAAAAAAAACATGTCATATACAGTTTTGTGAAATGTTTAAGTTGTTAATGATCTTATCTAGAAGTATTTTACCTCTCCAACTTGATAGCAAACAAGGTAAAGATCATCTTTCCATGCCTTACTACAGTGATGGATGATTTCAGTATGTCCATGGTATATATATGGTGAGTAATATGATGATATCATTTACTCATTAAAAAAATTGGTTATTAATCAGAATAAAGAAAAGTATTTAAAAAGTCATTAAAATAAATTCTAGATCATTTTACATGCACTGAACTCTCACATGTTTGACCACAGCAAGTTCTGGAACTTAATGTCCATAGTAAGTGTCTAATAAGTATTTGTTGAGTAATAAAGCATGTTAAGTTATTGATTATAGTAATCAATTGATTTTACTGAGTCATTGGGAAAGTCATGATGCATTTTTTGCTTAGAAAAACATAGACAAATGTGTCATCACTTTCCAACAACCTAATATAAATGGCTTGTGTATATCTCTAAATATGTGTACAGTACTTTTCCTACCTTATCTAGTAGTCTATTTCTTCTTGCTGTCCAAATTAAAATTATCTTTTTCAAATTTGGAAAATAAGAGTTGCCTTTGCCTTCAAGATGATAAAATCTACCCAATAGTGTTTTTAATCTTAATTTATTGAAGCTGAAAATTTACTGGGTTGGACTGTGTTAAATTATATATGCAATCTAATTTTGAAGAATAAACAACATTAATCACTAGTGCTGTAATTATTTTGAAAGTAAAATTAGTAATATTTTTTCATAGAAGGACTTAATATTTTTAGAAGGTTTTTGTCTTAGGGAACATGTGCTCACGAGAGAGAGAGAAAGAGAAACAGTGAGATGGAAAGTGAGAAATTACCCCCCAGGACAGTGGCCATGCCCTAACCCTTTCTCCTCCATTTTCTTCCCAGGATCTTTGGCATGCATGCACATGTTCCCAACATGAGTTTCAAGCCACTGGGCAGGGAACTCAAACCTTGGTCTGCCATGTAGAAGCCCAGTGACATATCCTCTACACAATATGCTGGAGCCAGGATTACTATTTTTAATGTTTATTTATGAAACATACCAGAAAACATTAAGTTGGGTAGCACACTCCTATCAAGTTTATTTATGTTTCTCATAAAGAGGAGTGTGGGAGGATGAGCATACGTGAGTTCTAAAGATTTATATGCTGGGAAAGCACGTGTATTCTTATCCATGGAAGTGTAGAAGCATGGCAATTCATCAAATATTTATTCATCACTAAATTGGAGCCAGCAACAAGGACCCTATGCCCAGTATTACATTAATCCAGTTAGGAAACAGCCATGAATATTTTATGGCTTATGGTAGATTCCGGAGAAGGTATGTCTCTAGTGATGTATACTTATCTCTAATCAGCCTGCTTGCAATGGCTATTTCTGGACCATATCTTTCACAATTAGAGCTCTGCTCCCAATAGACATTTTCCTAGTAGAAGAAATAACCCTTACTTGTGTGAAATAATGCTTTACAGTTTACAAAATACGTCTTATAGTTACAATGTATAATATAAAGTCACATTTGCAAAGGAAGTCTTGGAAGCAGAGGGCTCTGGAATGCCTTCCAAAGTCACATGGAGTTAGAGTCAGAAGAGTATTTCAGACCTCATTTATATAACCCAGAATTTCCTCAATAAATTACAGATAAATCATGACCCTTTTTTTTTCTTTTCTTTCTTTTTCTTTTTTTTTTTTTTTTGGAGTGGTTTATGCTATAAGGCACGTGTGCTCACCAGAAAGAGAGAGAAAGAGAAACAGAGAGCAAGAAATCACACCCCAAAGGGGATGGCCATGCCACAATCTCCACTCCTCCATTCTCTTCTCAGGATCTTGGGCGCATATGCACATGTGCCCAGTGTGAGCCCAAGTCACCAGGTCTGGGACTTGAACCACAGTTGACTACATGGGAGTCCAGTGACATATCCATTAAGCCAACTGCTGGTTCCAAGGCCCATAAATATTTTACAAACAAACACTAGGTATCAGATAAGACAGAAAGCATTATGAAGGAAGTGAAAATAAACAAAGTAATTACTGGAACTCAAACTATAGTAACTACACTACCTTGGTACTATGAAATTCAGACAGTAATCCTTGTCAACACGCCACAGTAATATTTTTATCTCTTATAGATAGTTTAGGCCCATGTAAGGTGTAACTATGTGAATGGGTCAACTCATGCCTCCCAAGAAGACATTCTTCACTGTCTTTTTGCTCATTTTCCCATTTAGCGTGTTGGCTAATCTGCTCATTGTCATCACTGTCTCCCTCAGCACCACTCTTTAGGCTCTCATGTACTTTTTTTTCACCTCTTGTCCTTCATAGATGTCTCCTACACTTGTGTCACCACCCCCAAGATAATCATCAACATGCTGTAGCAGAGGAGAACCATCTCCTTCAGGGGCTGCCTCACTCAGCTATTTTTGGAAAGTCTCCTGGAATAATCGGAGCTCATCCTCCTCATGTCATGGCCTATAATTGCTACATGGCCATCTGCAATTCCCTGCACTACATGACTATAATGAAACAGGGGCTCTGTCACGTCTTGGTGGTGGTAGCTTGGATTGGTGGCATCCTGCATGCCACTGTGCAGATTCTTTTTATGGTCAACTTGCTCTTCTGTGGGCCCAATGTCATTGACCACTTCATGTGTGACTTTTTCCCGTTATTGAAACTTTCCTGCAGAGACAACTACAGGCTGGGAATGGTGATGGCAGCCAACAGTGGAGCTATGTGCTTGCTCATTTTCTCTATGCTACTCATCTCCTACATAATTATCTTGAGCTCTATGAAATCCTATGGCTCTGAAGGACAGAACAAAGCCCTCTCTACATGTGGCTCCCACTTTACCATCATTGTACTCTTTTTTGTGCCTTACATATTCACCTACACACATCCAGTGGCCATCTATTGCATGAACAAGTTGGTGACTGTGTTCTTTGCAATCCTCACCCCTATGTTAAATCCTATAATTTACACAATGAGAACACAGAGATTAAAAGTGCCATGAGAAGATTGTTGAAGAGGAGAATAACTCAGCCTGTTTATAATGCTAAGAAAGTGAGGGTATATGTAAATAAGGAGGATTATATGCTTGCTGAACTACAAGGGAATCAACAACAGCTTACAGATCCTGACAAACAAAAAAAAAAAAAAAAAACAGAAACTAACATATATTGAGCACATAAGAGTGGTTAGGCTCTTTTATAGATCCTTTTGATATCTTTTTTTTTGAACTTTACCAAAGGTTTTAAGTTTTCATTAAAAAATTCTGGATGTGCAATGGAAAACTGAACTGTATATCTTAGTTTGATGATTCTAGAGGATGTTTTTCTCTGAAATTCATTGCTATTTTACTAAACTCTTCATACATATGTCAATTGAATTAAATGCTTTTTTTCCTACTTCCAAAAGTCTTTATGGGAAATTATTATTTTTTCCCTTAGCCTTTAATAAAACAAATACAAAAGTACAAACAAAAGCCTAGAAATCTAGATCTAGATTT